GTAATCCATTAAAATATTCTTCTGCTTCTACTTAACAGTTACACAGTGCTGTCAGAATGGTAGGTACAAGTGGCTTAATCTTAAAATAATAATCAACAAGGACACCTTCAAGGCAGTGCTTTTTTCTGGGGTAAACATTTTGTGAATCTAAGTTTGGCCTCATTGAGAGGCAGAATTTCAATATGAGTTGGAAAATGAGAGTAGCCCTAAACATTTTTTTTTTGAAAAAAAGCACTGAGTCAAGGTATTCTTCTTTGTAAATATTCTTACACTTTGCATGAGTTCTGAATCGGGTATATTTCTATTCTACTGTATTAAGGGGTTTTGTGTGAGCTGAAAGTTTGCATGATCTTTCAACAATATAAACTGTCTCGTTTTCCAAAACAACAGTTGTGCCAATTTGTGTTAGGCAGAAGAAAAACATTATTCTGGCAGGCACTTGATGACATAATACACCAGCTAAAAAAAAATTCACATCACTGAATATTATGCTGTGGATGTTGCTGGTTCAGTGCATCCATGTAGCTTGGCACACGTTAAAATGGCTGTATGAGTGCCTCACCACATATCCAGCATGCAGTTCAACTCAGTTACCACATCTTTCATATATAGCTTCCAAAAACAGATTGAGCAGTGATGTGGTGAATGTGGATGAAACTATTATATGACTGAGTAGTGAATCAAATAACTGTTTTCGCCATGCGCTGAACTCTGCGTATTCCCACTTAGCTCACATTCTCAACACACTAGTTTACTGTGGGAATGGCCCTGAATTTCAAGATGTCATAGCATTTTAAATATCTTTATCAATTTTGCATCAGGGAGTAGAATACAAAGATTATTTCCCCCGCAGTTTGCGGCAGGATAGTTAAGTATTAGGAAACAAAAATGCAGCGCATGAGTTGGGACCAGTTGTTTACGTTCCATTTGGATCCATTTCCAGTGCTACTGTAAGTAAACTTTAAATAAACAAAACAATCCAGAAATGGGCTCTGAATAACTGTGAGATGCTAATGGGCTTAGGACAAAAGATTCTTCTCAGACTAAACAGTACTATCAGAACTCGCCAAACAAGAGGGGTGACTGTTATAACAATACTGTAAAAGGAGTTCTGCTAACAGCAACACAGTGGAAATGTATTAATGTACATTCCATACAGCTTTGGCCCAGAGATGTGCAATTTCCCACTGATGGTTCCCACATTCAGTCTCGAATTGGATACCACAAGAAGACTATCTTAGACTGCTCAAGTCCAATGAAGCTGGGAGTCACATTACGGGTCCCCTGATACCCACCCACTCGCCCCACAATCCGTAGCAATGACTACAACAGCGTTTCTCAAAATGGGAGGAAATGTGCTGGGTTTCCAGCAAGAGATTACAATTTTGCACACTGTATTGGTAGTAAGATTTAAAAACAATCAAGGCTAAGGACTTCCTCAGCACAAGCAAAACTGGCAATTTCACTGGGTACCATTTTGGGCTTTTAACTGCATCCTGCTTTAATCATCATGTATTAAGAAAAGCAGAGGTGATTCAGATAGAGATGAGAGCAACAGTGACGAGGAAAGATTTGAAAGAAAAACCTGAGGCAATTCCTTATAGTTAACACATACTATAACCATATGCTGCTCCTATTACAAATGAAAAACTCCAGCCGGACAACTGCCTTTAACTGTAGAATGGCACAAGTGTTTTCCTAGCCTCTGTGCAGCACAGCTGCCCCATCCAAATAGGTTTACATCCCTTAGCTGAAGGCATGAAGAGGCTGAGGTTTTTCTGCCTCTACACCATCCAGAGTTTATAGTAAGAAAGGAATGCAGCTGTTCTCTTCAAAGAACCAGTATGGCATAGTGCTTAGAGTGCTGGACTAGGACCAGGGAGACCTAAGCTCAGCCTTGAAGCTTACTGGGCGACTTTGGGGCAGTCACTATTTCTCAGTCTAACCAACCTCACAGGGTTGCTCTGTGGATGAAATGAGGAGAAGGAGAGTCATATACACCACCTTGAACTCCTTGAAGGAAAAGTGGGATATAAATGGAATAATAAGAGGGGCACAGGCAAATACATGTCTCCCCGTTGACAATAACATTTCACTGCTAACCATCATAAGCTGATCCACAGGACCAGTTTGGTAAGAAAAAATGGTGATCTAAGTCAGAAAATGGTGGTTCAACTCAGAACATGTTTCACATATTTACAAGGCTGCTCTAAAGAAGAGAGGAAAAACAGCACCAGGGAAGAAGCAGTAAATTCCCGAGGCAGCAGGGCAGAAATCAGATAAACTGATTCCTAGTGAATTGTCCAGAGAAGCTTAAGTTCTAAGCAGTTTAAGATCCAGGGGATTCTATCAATGGCAGATGGAAAGATGAGATGATGAAGGGGAAATATAAGTCTCCAAAATCACCTACAACAGCTCAGTTTTAAAGCAAATACTGAGCACTTCCACTTGGAATGGGTTTCTCATTCGCTTAAATGCCCACTGGGGCTCATGGGACTTGGAGCCCAACAAATGGAAAATAAGAAGCCAAATGCATAATTTTTGTGTGGATGCTGCTTGGCTCCACTGAAACAAGTAAAAGACATCACACATCGCACAGGGTTGCCTGGACATGGGTGCAAATGTATAGGAAAGCAGGGCCGGTCCAAGACATTTTGGCATCCTATGCGAACCACCAAATGGTGCCTCCCCACCAGGGAACAAGGAAGGAGTGAAGATCTACACTGGGAACGGGGGAGGGGGGGAATAAAGATCTACATCAGGAATGGGGGTGAGTGGGAATAAAGATCTACACTGAGAACAAAAGTGGGAGGACAGCACCAGTGCCTCCTATCTAAAAGGCTGCTGTAGAGGCAACATTGGAGGGAGAAACCAAGGAGACGGCAGGCCCAGTCTTTAAGAAGTGTGCAACAGCTGTCATTGCCACCGTGGCGGCGGTGGCAGAGTGCAATGTATTCTTGGGAGGCTGGATCTGCTGCTCCTGTGGATCCTGATGCCTGAGGCAGTCGCCTCATTTTGTCTCATGGGTGGGCTGGCCCTGAGTAAATGTATTTATTGACAGTGCTCACTGGTTGCCTTTCCAATAAAAACTGGCCAATACAATTAGTAGGATCTAAAGATCCTGCGCGCAGAGTCCCATACATCAAATGGGCAGGAGGTGAATGTCTTTAACTCACTCTTTCCCCTGAAAATCTGCTCTGGAGACTAGGAGCTGGGAGAGGGAGCAAGGAAAACTGGCAAAAATCACCTCCCTGCTCCCTTCCATGGGTGGCAGCAGCAGCTTCTGGGTCTCCAGCCCTTCCATTCACAGAAGGGCTACTCTGGACCTAAGCCCTCTTACAAAATAGTAACATACCTAACGGTATTTGAAATATGTGATAACTATTTTTTTTTTAAATCATACATATTTACTCAGTAGTGCTTTCAAGAGATGAATCAATTTTTGATTATTTCGTTTTTGCTACTCCCCCCACCAGTTCTGGTATATTTAAATATCTGCATTCATTGACTCAAGAGGTTTTACACCTCTATCACATTGCTTTTAACATACTATTTCCAAATTCTATAAATATACTCTAAGATCACTATCAATATAAATTCAGACTCTTCAAAGTACAATATAAATTAACCACGGCAAAGCAACTGTAATATTTCGCATTATTATTACAGTGTAAAACCAGTGACTGGCTTACAAATAACCTGCTGTGTGCACAGAAGACACTTTTGCTCATGTGGGTGAAAGGGAATGTCACCCCCAACACTGCTCAGGGGGGTCCCCTGACTCTCTGAAGTCTGTTTTCAAGAAGAATGAGAAACTCTCTCTCTGTGTGAATTATGATCCTGCTTCCTGCAAGGACAGGGGCTTTTCTCTTGAGCAATGGGTGTTTTGCATCCAAGCAGATATAAGTTAAAAGATCCCTAAGATATTCGAAACAAACCGTTCCATTCCATAAGCTTTGCAAAGTAAAAAACAATATAGGTTTTCCCCTCTCGTTTTCAAAATACAAACGCATGCACTTTGCTGCACTGCTGTGATGCTAATCTCTTGATAACATTTTGCACTAAACATGGCTATCATATATCCATGCCAGAAAGTAATTGCACTGAATGAAGTACACTTTTACCACTGGATATTAGTTTGTACCATAAACTACAGCGTTATTACTTTCCCCTTCTCCATTTTAAGGAAGCTAAGAGAACAGAGCCCTTTCCTACATTTGTAAGTCTAAGGCTGTGTTCATACCATGCCTTTAAGGCACGTTCCCCTTCCCCCAAGAATTCCGGGAACTGTAATTTCCCTTTCACAGAGCTACAGCAGCCTTAACAAACCATGGTTTCCATGGGGGTTTTGCGGGGGGAGGGTGTGTACTTTCTATTTATGGTGCCTATGCAGCCTTAAACTTGCATCTGGCTTGAAGGAGTTTTGCCACCCGCATTCCACACTCACAACCAACTAACATTACAGAGAGTGAAATCATTCAACAATTCATCAAGCGGTAAACCTGCACACAACGACTTGGCAGCTATATGGATGCCGAGTCCTACCTGATATGGAGGAGAAAGTTTTCACTCCCCTGCTTCTTTGGATGAGGTGCAGAGGTGTGACAGGATTCACCCCACCAAATGGCAGTACCAGCTTACTGAGTGGTTCCATGCACTTATTGAATGGTCATGGGCACTCATTCGCAGCCTAGTTCAGGCATAGGCAAACTCGGCCTATGTGGTGTAGTGGTTAAGAGCGGTAGACTTGTAATCTGGGGAACCGGGTTCGTGTCTCCGCTCCTCCACATGCAGCTGCTGGGTGACCTTGGGCTAGTCACACTTCTCTGAAGTCTCTCAGCCCCACTCACCTCACAGAGTGTTTGTTGTGGGGGAGGAAGGGAAAGGAGATTGTTAGCCGCTTTGAGACTCCTTCGGGTAGTGATAATGCGGGATATCAAATCCAAACTCTTCTTCTTCTTCCAGCTGTTTTGAGACTACAACTCCAATCATCCCTGACCACTAGTCCTGTTAGCTAGGGATGATGGGAGTTGTAGTCCCAAAACAGCTGGAGGGCCGAGTTTGCCTATGCGTGGCCTAGTGCCTCCAGCCACATTCTCCAAGCTTTCCTCTTAACAATGTGAGCCGGTGAAAGTAACTGCAGAGCACAAAGAGAGTTTTAAGTCTCGTTGCTTTCAGTGGGCGAATTAAGCGTCTCTTAGATCACTTCAGATGGAGTCAGGGGATTTAAAAGTGCTTTTGGATATCAATATTAGCTTGAGTGCCCACCTGTCCCCAATAAAGGCGTCTCCCAAGATCCAGCGGCTTACATCCCTTATTTGCTTCCCCCGCCCGCAACTTCCCTATGCATATAACTCAGCTCTTGCAACATCCTGTGGTAAAGTACTGTCTACCAATCCACTGTGATTTGGACCAGTTCAGTCATGGGTAAATTTCACTCATTCATTTTCTGAAAAAAATGATAATACTTGCCAGTGGCAGTTGTGCCTTCATACTGCTAGCATGTGGCTTTTACGTTCTGCCAGTAGCATTAAAGATCTCAAGTCTCTTGTGAGTATTGACATTACACTGCTTGTGAAAGAATACATCAATTAAGATCAATGTCAGTTGAATTAATTGTAGTGTGGCTGCTGCTAAGCTTTAAATTGTGAGTTACAAACCACAAAATGCCCTTACATTTCAACTGCATAGCTCCATTATAACACACACACACATATACTTGATCAGAAGCATGTCACTAAACCTCCACAGGATTTTGTAATAATAATAATAATTTATTATTTATACCCCACCCATCTGGCTGGGTTTGATCATCATGGTCTGACTACTGTTGCCCTACTCTTTGGCTTTTCTAGACTGTATTGCTACTTTGGTCTGAATTTCTAAAGATGCTGTAATTTTCCTGTTCCTGTACTTCATACAAACACTTTCAATTGTTTTAAGAATTATGTTTCCTTCAGCATAGCAAATTGTAGGGCTATAAATGATAAATGTTTACATTAAAAGGGAAAAGATAAGTTCATTAACTGCATTCTAATGTCTCAATATTTAGGATACTAACTAAATTTCAATGACATTTTATACCAATAGGAGACATAATATGTGCTGTCTGAGAACCTCGCCCTTGAATTGTGTAAGATAAATAGCATGTTTCATATTAAATCTTTCAAATAGGTTGTTCATACAGTTACATTAACTTCTGATAATAAGAAATTAAAAGTTATTTTTTAAGATAAATGATTAATTCAATTGTGGCACTTTGCCTAGGCCTATTACGAAATATGATTCTCCTGCATTTGTCCTGTAGGTGACAAAGTTTCCCTTTCTTCCACACTCTTTTCTCAATTTAATTTACCAGACTCCCTTATCATACTTTATTACAAGTGTCCTCTAGGACCCAGAACCCCTGTTCATCTCCCTCTTGGTACACTCTTTAGTTGTTGTGGCAACCATCTGTTAGCCTGTGTTTAAGTATTTATGATATACAGCATTTTATTTTACATAATTTTTCCATTGCAAGGACTGCTCTTTAATTTTAAGGGTGTGATTCTGTAAGCTCTCTCAACTACAGCCTAGAGGGGAGAGATCCTGACATACCTGACAGAGATTCTAAATGGCACTTCACATGAGTCACTTACAGTACCTCAATGGGAGAGCAATGAGGTATTTCTATTCAAAGTCTATGGAGCAGAGTGTATGAATAATGTATGTTCAAGAGCGCACATATGTCTGTAAATGATCTTTCTCTCACACACATGCACGTATGTACGGGAAAATGTAAACATGTTCTAAAATCAGTTTCACCAAAATGCTGACTATGAAAGAATATAGGCTTTGGTATAGATTAATGATAAATAATGGAAATGCGTGTTCTACAGCTAGAAGACCAACTATAAATAAAGCATTATTGAATATTGCTAATCTGACCTCATGTTGATACAGAAGGTATTCATTTTCCCATCAGACAAATGAAGAATATAGTATGAACAAAACACCAAACGTTAATGAATGTAGCAGTTACATTATCTAGGCCTTATTCAAGTATATATATACCTTATTCATATATATATATATGAGATTTCTTTCTCCACATGTGCAAAAACAGTATTTCTACTTCCATGGCATTGATTGGGGTTCCTATAAAAATAATCGTAATAAAATACAGAATACATTTGATACACTTAACTTCCACCATTTGCAAGAAGGTAAAGTTAATCCTTTGGATACCATCAAAATCATTTTAAACAGACATTGACTTAGTAAATATTACGGTCTACCAGCACATGAGCCATCCTGCACAGCTGGCATAAAAGCTATTTAATTCACTGTCTAAAACCCTGCTTTTGCTGTCTTTTACATTAGTGCATTTTGCATAGAGTACTTCAAACAACTTTTAAGAAAAGAACTGCATTTAAGCCACATAAGGAAGAGTTACATAGAACTCTTCATAATTCCCATGTAAACAAACTTCTTATTGTTCCCTCTTCTGCACAAGCCAAGGGATTCAGAAGTCTTTTGAGGATTGTCTGAGGAAGAGAACAGCAAAGCAGAACTTCCTAACATCTAAAATAAGGTGCTCTCTAGGGAATGGGCAGAGGGAAGCATCATGCAAGGTATTAAGTCACACTGCGATTATGTTCATGTGTCTTCTTTCAGTTGGTGGTCGCACTGGCTTCCTTCTGACGTAGCCTCTCTTTCTGTTGTTTAAGAAAAAAAAGGAACTTTATTATCATTCTTCTCTTTAATTTTCCATCTGTTCTCAAATTGCACAGAGTATGTGGTCTAGTACACTTGAAGAATGGAGCAGTCCAAAACCAAAGTAGACATAAGCTTTTTCTTTTCTGAAAATTAATTCCTGAAGTGCCAAGCCAAGACAATGGCAAGCTTTATACAAGCATACTTAGGTTTGCATCTAAGTCACACCCAGAGTAGACACACTGAAATACAGTGGTACCTTGGGTTACAGACGCTTCAGGTTACAGACTCCGCTAACTCAGAAATAGTACCTTGGGTTAAGAACTTTGCTTCAGGATGAGAACAGAAATCGCGCGGCGGCAGCAGGAGGCCCCATTAGCTAAAGTGGTACCTCAGGTTAAGAACAGTTTCAGGTTAAGAACGGACCTCCAGAATGAATTAAGTTCTTAACCCGAGGTGCCACTGTAAATGAATGCAAAGGAGTCATGACAAACTTATTGATTTTAATGTATCTACTCTGAGTATGACTTACCTGGATACAAACTTAGCCTCTCATATCATCCTAAATATATGCCACTGTATTCTGAAATGCCTTTATAGTTAACATTAGCTAATATTGCACAGCCACAAAATATTAGTAATGTGAATGCAAACAAGAATACTTGGGGAGGGATTAATGTCTCTAGTTACAGAAGTAGATTTTTTATTTTTTATTTTTAAAAAAGAGAAATGTACTGGAGCTGATTTTAGCAGGAGCATCCCTTTCCCACAAAGTGGGACAATACTGTAGTGGTTTCTCATTGCACATACGGAGAGGTCCCTTGATAAAAAAGGAAACTGTAATAAACCATGATTGTGTGGGGAACCTTGGGTACATAGAAGTTGTGGACTAAAGCCAGTATAGACCAGATAAATTGGCTCACACTCTTCCTTAGGCCAAACTGATAAATGACCATCTCCCCTCCAGGATCACCCCTTTATACCAGACTGTACCAATAATAAATGGCACAAGCATGATTTAAGCACAGTTGGTTGTTTCCCCCCCTCAAATATTGCTGCTAAATTGGATCCACCTTAATTTGGCAAGCCAGCACTGGTTGCATCCAAATATGGCAAAAGAATTTTCCATTTGTCTGTGCACAAATAGAAGAGAGAGCAGCCTATACTGGAGAAAACCCAGGAAGCCAGGCTCGTTCCTAGATAAACAGGGTGACAAATGTAGGAAAGGGCCGAAAATAATGCCCTATTTGCTGCCATTTCAATAATCTGCTCTCCCCTCTCATCCCCTTCAGAAATGTGATGGAATTTTTAGGAGCACAGGTTGTAAAAGCAGCCCTTGAGATTATTCAGAGTACAGAATGCAGCAGGAAAGAAGAACACCAATGGGTCAGAGACAAGTGACAAAACCGAGACAGCTCCTGAGGACTGATTTCCCCCCCATGCAGACTAGTTTTCCTGGCAAAGGTCTGTGCATGGACATATTGAATTTAAAATTGCAAAGGCTTTTGAATTGACTCCCAGTCACTGCTTCAATCACTCAAACAATATTACTTGAATATATGTACTTTGGGATTGGAAAGGACATGATAGTAAATTGCATTTGAATGGACTAAAACATGCATCCTATTAGCTGTTTTTAAAAGCAAACTAGAAGACAAAGCCATTCCAAAAACACATCATACCAGGCTGGCAGTAGGGTTGATTTTCTTTGTTTCCACTTTCTTTTCTGCAGTTAACTTGTTCACTGTTTGTTGAGCCATTTTGAGTCTGAAACAAAATACACACAACAAATCTTACTGGAGCCAAAGAAATGGTACATAACCAGCATATGCAAGCTGCTTTCAGGAGCGCTTAGTTGTTGAATATGAATAAGGCTGTGTACACATGATACCTTTATAGCATATTCAAAGCATATTTCCGTTCTCAAAGTATCCTGGGAACTGTAGCTTGTCAAAGGTGCTGCGAACTGTAGCTCTGTGAGGGGAAAATTGCAGTTGCCAGGATTAAGGAGGCAGGGAGAGGGGGGAAATGTGCTTTGAGTGGGTTTAAATGGTATCATGGGCTTACGAAGCCAGTGTGCAAACAAACAAGACAGCATCAAGCCTGAAAGGTTGAAAGGGAACGGTACGCCCCTCTCTGAAAGGCTGGAGAAGATGTTAAGAGCAGAGGCTGCAACTATTAGAGGTGGCACAGTGCAAGGGCTGAAAGAGAAAAGCATCATGGCGACAATAGCAGCATTTCCGCTTGCTTCTCTTTCTATAGACCCAGCCTGGGATGTTTCCTGATCATTGTGTTGTCTGACAGAATACTAGAATCAAGCTTTCATATACATCTGTGATTTATGAAGTTTACATGTTGTTTTCCTGTCCTCTGAAGGGTGCCAGTGTGGTGTAGTGGTTAAGAGCGGTAGTCTCGTAATCTGGGGAACCGGGTTCGTGTCTCCGCTCCTCCACATGCAGCTGCTGGGTGACCTTGGGCTAGTCACACTTCTCTGAAGTCTCTCAGCCCCACTCACCTCACAGAGTGTTTGTTGTGGGGGAGGAAGGGAAAGGAGATTGTGAGCCGCTTTGAGACTCCTTAAAGGGAGTAAAAGGCGGGATATCAAATCCAAACTCTTCTTCTTCTTCTTCTGCAGTAATATGAGAAAGCTTATTCCTTTAACAGCACTTTGTATTCCTGCAATTTTCACTGGTTAATATGCTTTATTACCTTACGCACACTACCTAAAGATTATTATTATTTTTTAAAAAAACTACACTGCTTGTCAAAATGGTGCCCATACAGCTGTTCAGTGTTTGTGACTTCATTATTCTTGCTTAAGGAAAGAGTCACATTACTTTCCAGAGGTCGTATTTCAAACCATACGTACATAGTGTGCTGATAAGAGATACAGAAATGCACTCCCCGTTAATTAAGCATTCAGTGATTAAATCTCAAAGGCTTAACATACTATTGTATGTGACTAATGTTGGTCAGATTTCTTCTCCCTTCATACTTAGTACAAACATAAAACCTCCACACGTTACAGGGATTATAAATCTTCCCATGAACTGCTCTTCATTTTTGCAAAACGTTCTTAAGCTTTAAAATGCATTGACAAATTATGTCCCTGGATGACATGGCGCTGCAAGACCCAAACAAAAGAATCACGGTTGGCTTTCATTTAAAAAGTTCAATGAATATGTAGCTTATATAGCCTTTAATTAATCTACTAACTGTTAGAAGCGTAAGTCCGGCTCACACATAATGCTACACTATGATGGGGGGGGGGGCAACCTGTGTCCTTCCAGATGTTGCCAGACTACAATTCCCATAATCTGTGACAATTGGCCTTGCTGACTAGAGCTGAAATCCAACATCTGGAGAATCATAGGTTCCCTATCTGCACAAGGAGAAAGCAGCTGCCATAAACCTCAGGCTCCTGTACTTCCCGATATCTCTCCTCATCCCACAAGTCCAGGAAAAGGATTTCTGGCACAATTTAGTTTCACTTTCTAGTTGGGTTCTCATTACATAGGAAGCAGGGATCATGGCTTAAAAGAAACTTTAGCCAGTTTCTGAACAGGTCAATTTCAGACCATGCGTTATGAAGCTGACTTGTTAAACCACAGTCTCTGATTCATAGGAACAAGTTGGGGTTTGCAGAAAGTGAATTTGTGCTCTCCTTAATTGTTGTTTTTACTAGAAACTGAGAATCCTGTGGCCCACCACTTCTCTTCGTATCTTCAACAGCATAAACTCAGGATCTCATAACAGTTAAATCATAACTAAACATAACTATGAATCAGGATCAGCCCAAGATTGTCCTAGTCCAGCATCCTTTGAAAGAATCCTCGCAATCAGTGGGCTCGAGGTAGCCAACTGGAGACTGGCCAATGGTTCACCACCAAAGTCTATTTTTTGCCTGGCCTCAGCATCAGGAATCAATCTTGTCAAGCTGGGATACTGCTCCAATATAAGTTAATAGAATATGGAGAAAACTACAGTTCTGGATCCAATACAAAACTCAAAATCAAGCAGATAAGGCTACTTCTTCACATGACTTTTTTAAAATCTTGACTGGTGCCAGTGTTTGGATATTGTGACCACTTTCCTGTATCATAACTTGGGCTAAAGTAAGGTTTTTACTTCTATTTTCCATGTGTATGTGAAACAGCTTCATATTTATTCCCTCAATACATTCAAGAACTTTATGCTACACATTTTAGCATTTCCATGAATGAATGGTCTTATATTCTTTTTGTAAACAATTTCAACAACTGAACAGAATAGTTAGAACAGGACTCAAGGCATTATAGTGCCATTGAAAATAACATGGTCATAATAAACCATAGTGTTCTGTTTATCATTTTGGTTGCAGATACTTTACAAACAGATGTTTTATGGGTATATGCAAAGTGTTAAAAAATTCTCAATATCATATAAACATAACTGAGGTTACTTTGTGAATAATTTTGCATTTATCAAAAATAGAGCTGTGAGTTTCTTTGGTAACTCTTTCCACTGCTTTAGATTTAACCAGCTTTAATAATTTGGTGTCATCTGTTCAGCATAACATGCAAACTACATTTTTTGTTGTGAGAACTGATACTAACTAGAGTTTGCAGCCTATTTAATCCACAGAGCAACATCCCCTCTTAATTCATATAATTAACTTTTTTGAACTTTTAGGAAGGGACTGTAACACTACTGCGTTGCATTGATCTGTGAGTGATGCAGCCGGGACCGACTTTCCATTCAAGACAATTCCCATTAATATTTTTTGAATCTTCAGTTAAAATGGAGGGGGAGGGAGGCAAAGAATCTTAAGGAATGCAGTTAGTTTAAACCATGAAATCTGACCATATGTAAGGGGAATCCGTTCAAAAGAAGATTTAGGATCACTCATCATGGTGCAAAGAAGGTCAAAATACGCAAACGAATTGAGAAGAAAGGTTGCTGGTGTCAGCAATAATATTAACACACTTTTACAACTGTTGTGTATTGCCATGCCGTGTGGAAAACCACAACTCAAAGCAACAGAAAAAGTAGAGTTCTGTATTTCAAAAAAGCCTTAAATCACCTGATTATTTGCTTCAGAAAAAAAGAACAAAACACACAGCAATTGAGTTTTGGGTAAGAAGTTAAATTAACTTCAAATGTCCCTACCAAATTCTGTTCTGAGGGATCACATTTTCAAACCTATATATCTTCAGATTAAATGCAAGAACCAGAGCTATTTTGAAAAAAAATAATTATACAAATGAACTATAGAAGTTCAAATGAGCCCTTTTTTTTTAAAGTACCTTTGCGTCTATAAAGTAAAAGAATAATTTTCACCTTTACAAGAACATACATAGTTGTGCCAAGGGTTAGGAAGAAAAAACACTGCTTACTTAACCCTGTGGCCTCTTCTCATTCTCAACATAGAGGGAGGAAAGAATAGGAATTAAGCCATGAAGTGATCCGATACCCAGAGACTGATTATTAGCCACAGACGGCTTCCTTGCTGGCGCAGCAACCAGTAGATTGGACCTTAAGTCAACAAGTGCTATTAAGTGCTTGTTGGCACTATACACTATCATCACCATATTAAATTCCAACTTGATGATCTGTATTTATGGGATGTGTAAAGAATGCTAGGGTATACTTTGCAGTATGTTATTGAATAGGGTTACTAGCTTGTTGAGGCTGTTGTGTTTTTCAATAGATACAAGCTGTAACTGACAATGTTCTGTTCTGTGGTAAGCTCAATGCTTGTTTTCAAACTGAAGCTTGGAATGTATATTACTTTTTTGTGGAGGATACTTTTTTGGGGGGGGGGGCTTTATGTCAGGTCCACATATAATGCCAAACTATGACATGGCACAATAGAAATGAGCTTGTGTGTGCCTCCCTCTCCTTGTCTGCTCTTCTTACTTACTTACTTCCTGGTTGACTGCATACCAAGTTCACCATTTCATACCTTACATCAGCATGGCATGTTTGGCACTTGCCCTCAAAACCATGATTTCAGGCTGCAAACTAAAGAGTTTCCCCACAAATCAGAAAGCAGCTAATTAAGTGGAGTTTCAGCAAAGGCTCAGTCATGTAATGTGAGACATGCAAACTGACATCTATTGTATGAAAATCCATTGTGACTTATCTCAGCGTTTCCCAACCTTTTTTGGGCAAAGGCACACTTGTTTCATGAAAAAAATCTCGAGGCACACCACCATTACAGCCCCGTGACGTCAGCGCGCAGCGTCACGCCGGGAGGGACGCACGAAAGTGTAAGATTCAATTTTTTCACTCCCCCTTGCCTTCCTTCTGTGCCAACCGCCAAAAAGCCAAGAATCGCGGGACCGCCGGCAGAGGGGGGAGGGCGAGCGGAGGCAGCGGCGAGCCCCGTTCCTCCCCATCCGCCCCATTCCGTGCAAGGAGCGCGAACAGGTGTGAGAAGGGGGTCAAACCTGCGGGTCGGCGCCGGGGAACCTCCAAGCTTTGGGGGTGGGGGGAGGAGGCAGCAAAGCGAGGCAGGAAGGAGAGCGCGGCTTGGCAAAGTACTCGGCGGCGAAGGCCAGCAGGTCCAGCGGCCGGTGCCGCAGCACCTCCACCATGTAGCCCTGCAGCAGCTCAGTCAGACCCGGCGGGATCTCGATGCTCATCTTGTAGCCGAGGCGCGCGGGAGACTCAACGGACGGGCCCGGGGGAGAGAGAGAGAGAGAGAGAGGCACGACGGAGAGAGAGCGGGAGTCCCTGCTCGCCGTCGCCACCGCTACAACTACTGTGGCGGTTGGTCGTGGTCG